GAGATCGGACCTAGAAACTGACGCTGAATTAATCGCTTGTGAAATCAAACCTAATAACAGGAAGAAGTTCTTGTGTTTGTTTTTTTACAGACCTCCTTCATCAGGCATATCTACCCTGAAGGCCCTTAAACAATGTCTAAGAAAGGCAAACAGAGAACACTTTACGCAATTTCTGGTTATGGGTGATTTTAACTTGCCCGATATTAATTGGCTGACTATGGCTCCCGACCGCAATGATTGCTTAAGGTGGCTCGATACAGTTTCTCGAATTTTTTTTGGGCTCATTTTAAACAGGGATATTAAGCACCTAAATATTTCACAATAAGGCTAAAAGTTAATATACTTTGCAGGAAACATATATAGAGCGGGAATATTCTCAGAACTTTTGCCTGGCACCCGTTACCATGGAAACAGAGACGTTTCAAAATGGCCGCCAAACAAGGTTTTATCGTGTTTATATCTCAAACGAGTTCGGTGACCCCCACTTTTTTTTGCATTAAACATTTACGCTATAGATTATTTATCTATGAAAAAGTTTTAAAAAAATTCTAACATGGGGGAATTTTTTAATAAGCAAAAATAACGTTTTTGTAAATAGAAAAAATTCCCAATGTTAGAATTTTTTTAAAACTTTTTTATAGATAAAGCATTTATGGCGTAAACGTTCAATGAAAAAAAAATTGGGGGTCACCGAACTCGTTTGTGATATAAACACGATTAAACCCTGTTTGGCGGCCATTTTGAAACGTCTCTGTTGCCATGGTAACGGGTGCCAGGCAAAAATTCTGAGAATATATCCGCTCTAGATATGTCTCCTGCAAAGTATATTAACTTTTAGCCTTATAGTGAAATATTTAGGTGCTTAATATCCCTGTTTAAAATGTGCATCTAAAAATTTCGAAAAATTGTATCGAGCCACCTTAAACACAAATCTTGTAAAATTTGCTCGTTATAATTTCCTGTGGCAGCTTATTGATCAACCGACAAGAGGAGACAACATTTTGGACTTACTGCTCACTAATTTTCCCGACAAAGTGATGAATTTGGAAATATTTGATGACATAATAAATACAGACTACCGGTTATTCGAGTTTGTGCTCAATTTCAACATAAACAAGAAATCACCCACAAAGAGGAAAGTTTATAATTTTAAAAATGTTAATTGGGATGCCCTTAAATCAACAATGGAGCATACCCCATCGGACATTACAATGGATGATAGCTGTATTGACACAAGCTTATCAAATTGGATGGACTTATATTTCAGTATTGTTGATGAACACATACCTCAAATTATAATTACCATTAAAGACAACAACACGCGGCCTTGGATCGATAAAACGTTATGCATATCTTTCGACAAAAGAATAAGTTAAGAAGAATTGCAAAAGAATCAGGCAAACAAAAGCATTTAGAAAATTATAATTCCAAGAGGAAAGAGGCCAAACTAATTTTGAATAATAAGTATAAAGATTATATAAATGATATAAAATTGTCTTTCAAGGATAGCCCAAAGAAATTCTGGAGCTTTGTGAAAGCTACTACCAAATCAACATCATGTCCACAATTTCTAAACTATGGGAAGACTTCTCGTCATGTAGCATAGACAAATCGAACATGTTTAATCGATTTTTTCAGTCTGTGTTTTTACAAAATGACATTAATGTATGCAATGAGCACGCTTCTCAAAATAATCATGAAGCTGAGTTTTCCCTGAATGAGATTGTTTTAACAGAAAGTGAAGTCCATGCTTGTCTATCTGTGTTAGATCCTAGCGAAGCATCTAGTCCGGACAACATACCCGCAAAAATTCTGAAACTAACTGCCGATCAAATTCCCCCATCTATATGTAGACTTTTTAACCTGTCTCTAAACCTAGGGGTTATGCCTACTGCATGGAAGGAAGCAAATGTGACACCTGTCTACAAAAATATTCATCAATGATTTGCCAAATCAAATAGCATCTTTCTTCCAAATAGGCTTATATACCGATGCCAGCAAAATGTTCAGAGTGATAAAAAGCGAAGCTGATGTGGAACAATTTCAGGGTGACCTGTCACGTGTTTATGACTGGAGTATTAGATGGCAGATGCAGTTTAATACAAAAAAGTGTCATCATATGCGCTTGACACATAAAAAATCTTCCAAGGATATCCAATATGATATGAATCGCAAGTTGTTGGATCGAGTTAAGTCAGTGACAGATAAAGGAATCTTGGTGACAGATGACCTGCGATGGTCTCAACACATATCAGCAATAACTTTGAAAGCAAATAGAACTTTAGGCCTAGTTAAAAGGGTATGCAGAGATATAAAGGATGTCCGCATTAGAAAGCTCTGTATTGTTCGTTGATAAGACTTCAACTGGAGTATGCAACTGTATTGTGGTCCCCTGAACAAGTCACGTACAAGCGTATGCAAGCGACTAAATTTATCCTCGACTACCCTCTAAACTGCAGTTATACGGAGAGCCTGGCTCGGTTGAACTTGTCCCCTTGGAACACAGAAGAACGTGGAATGATCTGGTCTTTCTTTTCAAATGCTAAAACGGCTTATATGATCTAGACACTTCAAATATAGTTAAAAAACGGTCTGTTAGATATAATATTAGGCGTAACACCGAATTTTATAGAAATTCCTACTTTCCAAGAGTAATTAGAGCTTGGAATTCACTGTCAGATGATCTGAAGACTGCTACGGAGATTGGAGCATTTAAGAGTAACTTGAGAGCCCATTTTTATGAAATTCTGAACGTTTATACACCTCCGTAATTTTTAAATTTTGTATTTTCCATAATGTTTTAGTGAACTTTAGTTGCTAATTTGTATACTGTTAATGTAATTCGTACGTAACTTTGTAATTGAGGTAGGCATGTTCAGTTGGGGCTATGCTCTGTCTGCTCACCTATCATCTGCGTGTTGTAACTCGTTTTTGATGATGAAGTTATTAAACTAAACTAAACTAAACTAAACTAAACGACATTGTTTTTTTTAGCATGGGTAAACTTTATGAGTATATCTCTTCAGTTAGTATATGTAACCCAAAATACCAGTGTGTGTAAACAAGTTTGCAGCATGGGAGGAGATATGGGGATTTGGTAATTGAATGACTTCTTGAATGACTGAGATCCCTTGAAATCCTGGCGGTGAAACTTCTGAATTTTGATGTGTGATAAAAAAGCCGCATCTATGGCAGAACAATGCCCCTTCGACGGCTTTCGCCGCACATTTTGAACAAAGCGTCATTAATCTAAATTACGTTGAAAAGAAAAAAATACAAGGCGTGGTGGGTATTCCGCATTGCTTGCAAACAAACGCATAAGCACGCGGCATAAGCAAGATTCGTGCCCGCAATAGAACTGTTTTCGATTTGCCGTGTGAGCTCATGTGTGCGCACAGTTTCACTTTTTGAATGTGTGTCATATTTTTTTATTGGTTCACTGCTTAAAAATGTTGTTGTCTCTTTTCTTGAGAAACCGACAACTTTAACTATTTTCTTGCTATTTTTATAATTTTATATCTGGTATATCTGGTATATTCATTTTGATTTTTGCTTTTAATTCAATTTGCGTCTTTATTTAGTTGCTATATGTTTTAATTATTGTATTTAGTTACCTAATGTGTGCATATTTTTTATATTTGTGTGTGACTCTTGTGAGCCACCATAAGAATTTAATGTGAATCCTCTAATTACAGCAGAAGTTTAGCTAAACATCGTTCGACTGGAGCGGTGACGTTTCAGGCAGAACCTCCCGCACCTATATAAATGTGTTGTAAGTGAATATTTTCACGTATAAAATCAGTTTCCCAAACATTGGATAAAAAGCTTCTTTCAGCTGGGAAATCTGAATTCGAATTCGCCAAAAGGGTAATCGGGTCCCGCACTGAAACACATGGGCATGCATCCATGCTGATATCTGAAACTCATTATTAATTAGCAAATATATTCCTATGGAACATAACCCTGAATTAAACTCGTTAAAAAAGCCAGAGTTGACTTTATATAATGGTAGTATATATCGGTTTTTATAGCATGTCTGCATGGCCTGAGAACTACAACTACTTTCCCGCACAATCGCGCAAAGTGGGACAAATGGGCTAAATATGGCCCTTCTACAATTTTGTCAATCTCGTTCCCCGAGCCCGCGATACCTCTGGCGAGAAAACAAAGGCAGAAATCCTTGCTTCCGGTTTGTAATAGTTTTTTTGTATTTAAAAATTGAAACGGCGTGAACGACCAATCAAAATAATTTCTGAATTTGAATATATCCCAGAGCCTTTGTTTTTTCGTCAGAGGAATCGCGGGCCGGGGAACAAGATTCCAATTTTGTTTACTGACCCAGTTTAACCCTTCCCCCAGAACTTATCAGGTTACATAAGCAAAGTGAGTGGTCGAAAAAAGGCACTCGATATAAATAGTATTATTAGAAGTTTAAAAGGAGTATTAGATGCAGTTGTTAACCATTATACGAGAAAAGATCCTTCATACAAATAATGTCCCTTTGTCATTTTTCAATCGTTTTGTTTCTCTATGAGTCGTGCCTGAGAGCAGTGGCGTAGCCAGCATCGATAATTGGGGGGGCCATATTCATATATTCATGTTAACAGACTGTAAAGACAATTGATTTGAAAAGAAATTAAACCTGCGTATCACGAATATATTAATATTGGCCCCCCCAATTATCGTTCTGGCTACGTACGCCACTGACTGAGAGGCAACTAGGATGTGAGGACGGATTGATTTTTATGCTAAAATGCGAGAGGACATGTTTTTATTGTAAGGTGAAAATTAATTTTAGTGAATTCACCAAATCGGAATGAGACCAATACCCTCAACTTCAATATTCCAAAAGGAGTTGAACTAATAGTAATTAATTACAATAAAATATGCAATGAATACATAATCCATGCTTACATTTAGTCACACTCGTTATTAATCTTTATTAAATTTCTATTCTACAGTATTTGAGAATATGATCATGACATCAATCAAGTCGTCGATTGCTCTTTAACTATTCTCAACTTGAAAGCAAACTTAGAAAAAGGAAAAGCCTTATAATATTACTATAAAAGCCTGAATAACTATAAGAAAACATTACTGTTATTGTAATTATTATTATTGTCAGCTTCAGCTATAATTAATTGGATCACATGCATATATAGTACTATAAAATTTTAGGACATTACATATAGATTAAGTGAATAACATCAAGACACAAAAAATTGCCCTATAAATGGCAAGGTATGATAGATAAGAGGCGAAATTCCTCCCTAAAATTAAACACAAAAAAAATTTAAAAACATAGCTAATTAGTATGAAGGTGAGTCGCCTTAGCGGTAGTGTATAGAAATTTTTATTCCGTTCCTGGGATAACCGATGCCGAAAAATAAACACTTCGAATTCAACGGAGATAAGAAAATGCAGTACATAATATACCTTAGTGAAGATAGACGCAGCACTGTTCAATCGGATGATCACACGAACGTGGCATTTCTGCAGCGTAATAGTCTGCGCAGGTAATACCAAAATCAGCCCAAATGCAAAATCCACCAGATGCTTCGCAATCATTGGTGTCTATAAGAAATAACATATGCCTGGAGTAAGAGATATACGAATGAATCGCGCAAAATGAAGGATATTTCCTTTGTTGTAATAGCTGTGCATCACGAATATACTTACGACGCTTTTCTTCAACATGGTTCTCACGTCCTGACATCACGCGTGAAACTTCAAAAATCGCGAGAAGCAAAAATATAATAAATGTACCTTTCATGACGAGCTAAAAGATAAACACCATGAAGTCATCAATGTCATAATTATTAGTTGCTCAAGCGCAATGCCTCGTCAGAACTGACAAAATAATTATACAAAAATATACTACCCTGAAAAAACACAATCATAGCATATATAGCACTTAAAATTAGGGATTACATTGCTTGCTCTCTTGGGTGTGTGCGTTTGTGTTATTTACATGTTTTGGTTAAAGTGAAAATAAAATAGCTGTTGATAACTAGACCGTATAATAGCTAAATTTCGCTTGTTTCCATCACGTTTAAAAATCAATGATCGCGTTCAGAATTAAAAGAATATAAACACAGTGGGAGTGCCGTAAAACAACGAAGATACATGGAAATATCGAACAATAATAAATAGACGCTTTACTTACATATCGTTAATTGTAGTTGAGCTTTCTTTTAATTGTTCCGTCTTCAGTAAAGTCTTCAGTGAAGTGAAGTGGTTTCAGTGGTTCTTCGGATATATATAAATTATACCTAGGTCAAAATTTGAATTTAATTTTCCAACTGATATTGATATGACATCTTTGCTTTCAGCCAACCTGAGTGTTTTTTTGTTAGCACTTAAGATAGGAAAAAATGGATATAGATGTAACTTAAAAATCCAGCAGATTGACTAACAGAAAAAAAATCAATAATCGATTAATTAAATGAAAGTAAGTTTTAGTAAGTTCTATTTGAGCACAACTAAACTCTCTGTTTGCAATTACTTGCTTGTATTTCTTAATCTAAATCTATGTTCGTATATACGACCACAAAACGACAGAAGCGCACTCTTCAAATCGTCGATCAAAATATTGGGAATCGACATTGCGAATTGTTAACGCTAAAATTAAAAATGAGTCTCAAATATTAATAATTTAAAAGGTGCATCAGCATGCAAAAGGTAATCAGGAAAGGTTCCTATACGTTTAACACACAGAAATGTCCAGTTTATTAAACTTTGTACTGCACTTGCGCATTTAGGCATGGTAATAATGGGCTAGGATAATTCGATACTTGCGTTGCCATGTTTGAAAGCAGTGGCGCAGCCAGCATGACAATTTGGGGGGGGGGGCATATTCATACACTTTCAAATCAATTGCCTCTACAATCTGTTAAGATGATTATATGACTATGCCCCCCCCCAATCAATTATCGATTTAGCTACGCCATTGTTGAAAATCCGATTTTTATGTAATAAACACCAAATTATAAACATACCACTTTTTGCAGCATGGTATTGCATTAATTTACCTAAAAATCATAAAGAATTCCTTTTTTATTCCTTTTCAACATAATAGACCTTTTCAGCTTCTATGCAAATTAATCCATTTCAAATCACTTGGTCTGAAGGGGTTACTGCATTAATTTGACCACAGAACGACGGAAGCGCATTCTTCACTTTGTCGATGAAAGTGATAAGAATAGATCTTCAGTATTGTTTACAGGCATTGGGAAACAGAATAGAAAAAGCTTCTTCAATTGTTGCATGCATACAAATATTGTTGCAAATAGTTTCATCGCTGTATTTCAAATGCCAGGCATTATTGTTATTGCCTACAGTACGGTCCAAAAATAACCTAACACTGCCGTTGCGGTTCACTTGCGTTTCGGTTGTGGGAAAAAATACCTTCGCAGTAGCCGTAATTCGCTTCCGAACGAAATTGTTATGAACAGCTGAGAACGACGACAGAATAACCAAATCGAAAAAATGTTAAGAAATGTCTGTAGGACCAATTAAGGCCGATTAACTTCCGTCTCATCCCGGTTCCACCTCGGTCTGACCTCGTTCAACCGCGATAAGACCGAGGTTTGATCTTGGTTAACCGCATTTTTTGTTAGGGTATTGAGTCTAGACAGTACTGTATGGCATGTAGGCGATAAATTTAAGTTGAACTTCGCGATATAATTATACTGTAACTCATGCAAAACTTCCACACTTAAGGCAAAATGTATTATTAAAGAAACAGGAAATAAAAAGGAAATAGTCAGGCGCTTTTGATGCTTTACGCGCCATCCATGATATGTGTATATGCCTTTCAATTTTTTTTAGTTTTAAGCAAATGCAGATTTAATATATTGAAGAAATTATCCATATAATTATAAATTTATAATATAAAGTATAAATTAAGCAGAATGTCCAATAGGAAACAAGCTTTAATAAATCTCGATGATAGGTTATTGCATGAATTTACATGCATGCCAAAAAATAGAGCAGTATCTTACATTGAGCACAACCAAAGTTGCTAAACCCTCTGCAACCACTATAGCATACTATGAGCAAAATTGATTTAAATTCATGTTCGTATATTCGACCACAAAACGACAGAAACACACACTTCACCTTCTTGATCAAAATATTGGGAATCAACCTACCTATTCAAACAAAATATTTTGGGATATTAAATGGGAACTTAAATATTCATTAACGAATATTCGATCTTTTTTTAGACCATGTATATACTGTATATACTGTATATACTGTATATATATATATATATATATATATATATATATATATATATATATATATATATTTTGACTGGCATTAACACAAAACATAATGTTTTCTGAGTTCTCAGTAAATAAGTTTTTTATTATATATCAGTTGTCAAAGAAAAACCAAACTACAAGGTAAACAACGAAATATCTATTCATAAAAGACATAATTTCAAATGGATAAAAGCTGTTATTTCCCATGAGATAACACGTTATCTCACTCTGCAGGGGGTTGCGCTGGCGACATCAAAATTTCGTCACTCTCGCATGATTCGCTCTCGACCAATGAAACGCTAAAAAAACAAAACTTGGACAAGTGGTATATAATAATGAAAATTGTAAATCCTGCCTAAATAATTATGCTGGTATATTTTGATCAAAAAGTCTTCTAGATATCATTTTATTTATACCTTACCGTTAATAATATCCATATTCGCTGAGCGCGGAGCCAGCCAGCTCGGGTTCGATAATCCCGCAGGGAATCTTATTACACCACTATTTTGTAAAATTAATATGGTTTATAATCTATAATGAGAAAATACTGATGTAATAATATTGTTTAAGATTATATTTATTGTTATTTATGTTTTATGTTTGATTTATGTTTTAGAGATTATTGAGAATGTCTATCCATTATAAAAAATTACTGCATATATAGGAGGAATAAGACTATTAAAATATAGAGAGTGTATATAAGAGGAATAAGACTATTAAAATATAATAAGAATTTTATTGTATGTCATTTTTATAATACATGTTAAGCTAGAAGCTTAATTGGGGCGATATTCGTCATGCCCGACATATATTCGTCTGATGTCCAACTGATTTCTCTCGTATTGCTCCTACGCGGTATATCAGTAATATTAATCATGCATTATATCATAATATTATATGATACACCGTGATTTACTTACATAAGCGTGTTTATAGGTGTATAGGTCCTCCGACGCTATATACGCTTAGCGAACTTGCGATGTTAGTTATCGACCCCAACTGTGTTGATTTTGTTTTACTCTAACAGAATATAAATACATAAAGATTTACATTAATTATACGCAAACTATGACACATCACCGCGATTTTACATAACAAACGTTCACATAGACGATAGATAATACGTAAACAAACGTTAATGTCTTACCAAATGTCGATAATCCGCAGAGTTTTATTTTACAAGAGTTTTCCGAGTATTTTTCGTAAGAATTTACTAAATTTAAAATGTAACAAAATCGAAACGTTCTTCCTACGTAATTTTAAAGGCAGAAGTGCATGCTTAACGTGGACTACGCTGCCCGGAAGTGTTGAGTACGTATACCTCAACATAGCCCCCCTCCCCCTCCCCCGCGTTGAACAGTCATCATGAATCGTTCAAATTATGATATATATGTATGTTAATTATCTCTCCCCAAGTTTATTGAAATTTATGTTCCGCTTGTTTAAGTCGCTTCTTCCAACAGACATAACTTAGAAATTGATCTCACAAACTTCGATGTCTTCGTCTTTACCTCTGCCGTGCGTACCAATCCGTCTACTCCGTAAAACACTTTCGTAACTCGTCCCAAGTGCGAATGCCCCCGGGGTAGAGTTGTATCCACTAAAAGCACTAGGTCGTTTGTTCTCAAATTTCGTTTCTTCGTCATCCACTTCTTTCTTTCCTGCAGGAGGGGAAGGTATTTGCGGATCCAACGGACTCAGAAGTGGTTGGTCAGAACTTGTCCCCTACGCCACTGTTTACGAGAATGAATTTCTGCGTCTTCGAATATGCCGAGGGGGACCCGGAGACTTTGACGTTGTTGTAAAAAATGACTTGGGGTGATCGGTTCACAATCGTTCGGATCGTCGCTACTAGGGCATAGGGGTCGGCTGTTGAGGATACTGGCTGCTTCTGCGAACACTGTACGCAGTGTTTCGCGCTTGACGAAGGCATGTGGGTGCCCGAGGATGGCTTTCATGGTCTTACGAACGCTTTGGATTAATCTTTCCCACACTCCTGACATGTGGCTAGCTGTAGGAGGTTGGTGCCATTTTTTCAACGGTTGTGAGTGCCATTCCACTCCTTTTTCGCTCAGAGCTTCGATAATAGCATTCTGATTCCATCTCTTTATAGCCGACCTTATCTCTTTCTCCCCACCTACGAAATTTGTACCATTATCACTCCATATTTCTTTGGCGGCGCCACGGGTGCAGACGAAACGACGCAAAGCTTGGATAAAATCGTCTGCTTCCAACGATCCGACATCTTTAATGTGGATTGCTCTTGTATTGAAGCAGACAAAAAATACAGCAATACACTTTCTCCGTACCGCGACCACGTTTGACATAAAACGGGCCGAAGAAGTCTAACCCGGTATAGGTAAAGAGGGGCTCGTAAGGGGTGAGTCTGGCTTTGGGGAGGTCGCCCATCATCTGATTCATTGGAGCTTCGTTCCTCTTCCGGCAAGTAACGCAGCGATGCAAGATCTGACGAGTCAACACACGGGCGTTAATATGGACCTTAAGCATGTAGGACGGCAACACGACGGTGACGCGGTTGAAATACTCCTTTAAATAAATGCTATGGCGAAGTTGTTGTTGTATATTATTAATTGTACCGATTTAGTGAGTATAATAATAATGATAATAATAATAATTTAAATCTTATATAGCGCATCTTCTGTAAATATCCAGAAGCGCTTTACATTCAAGGGGTAAAAATTACAATTTATGATTATTTACAGTACTTAGATAAAATCTTTATATACAGTTCTAAACAAATATGTCTTTAATCCTATTTTAAAACTATTTACAGACTCGGACAGTCTTATAGTGTCTGTGGTAACCTATTCCACATATTCCGCATATAGCGCATCTTCGATTCTATAAATATCCAGAAGCGCTTTACTATAAAAAGGGTATAAAACTAGCTACAATTTATGATTATTTACAATACTTAGATAAAATCTTTATATACAGTTATAAACAAATATTTCTTTAATCCTACTTTAAAACTATTTACAGACTCAGACAGTCTTATTGTCTGTGGTAACCTATTCCATAGTGTTGGTGCAACTACAGAAAAAGACCGTCCTCCATAAAATTATAAATTATATTTTGGGACTACTAATTGTTTATCTACTGAAGATCGTAGATTACGTTCAGGAATATAAATCTTGAGCATATCGTTTATATATGACGGAGCTAGACCAGATAGTGCTTTATAAGTGAGTAATAGTATCTTATATTCAATTCTTTCTTTCACCGGCAGCCAATGCAGTTTAAAGATCACAGGAGATACATGATCCCTTTTATTTGACAAAGTGACCATCCGTGCAGCTGCATTTTGGACTTTCTGAATTCTTTGTAGGAGTATGCTTGGTAATTCATACAATAAGGCATTGTTGAAATCCAATCGGGAAGTAACCATAGCATGTACCAGAGTTTTAGCAGATTCAAGGCTAAGATATTTTCGTATTTTACCTAATTTTCTCAGATAGTAGAATCCAGATTTGCAAACAGTTATTACCTGCATCTCCATATTTAACTGCGAGTCCATCGTAACTCCAATATTCTTTGCCTTTGGCGATAAATCAATAAGTTCGTCACAAACTGTTACCGAAAATGAAAATGGACAAGGGTAATATCGAGACGATAGCAACATTATCTCTGTCTTTTCACTGTTCAATTTCAGTTTATTCCTAGATAGCCATTCATTCACTTTTCTGATACATTGCTCAATCTCAAATTTAGCCTCACCCAACTTACTTGCATTAGTCGATTTAAACGTAATGTATAATTGAGTGTCATCAGCGTAGAGATGATAGCCAATGCCCATTGATCGTATAATATCTCCTATAGGTGCAATATAAGGTGAGAAAAGCATCGGTCCCAAAATACTTCCCTGTGGAACACCAGATCGTATAGTTCGTTTTGTAGATTGGCCATCAAGAACATATACCGTAAATGACCTTTCATCAAGATATGATTCAAACCATCTTAAAGCCTTTCCGCTGATCCCGTATTTCGAAGAGAGTCTGTGCATTAATATTGCATGGTCTACAGTGTCAAATGCCGCAGAAAGGTCTAGGAGAACTAGGATCACTGCATTTTGATTGTCCAAAGCTTGCAGAACATCATTTTGAACCTTTACCGAGGCTGTTTCAGTGCTGTGGTGTTTCTTGTAACCAGACTGTAGAGATTCACTTAGATTGTTTCTCATGATGTGTTGATCTAATTGAATTTCCACAACTTTCTCTAGGCATTTAGACACAAACTTGAGATTTGAGATCGGTCGAAAACTAGGATATTCATCAGTGTTCATGTTATCTTTCTTCAGCCTTGGTTTTAGAGCTGCACATCTTAGGTTTACAGGTACAGTAGCAGTTTCTAGTGAGTTGTTAATTATATTCATAATCGGCGGTAACAAATCAGCCAAATAAGGCGTTAAGAACATTGTGTTTATGTTCAAGGACAATTTTGTAGAGCGTAATTCTAGGTAGGGCTCGCTGGATCCTGAGATGCACCCGTTCTAGGCAAGACGTAAAAAACCACGTTTTCCCGTTGTAAACAGAACGAAGATGACTTCTAAATCCCATCATGGGTCTTTATTTATTCATTTCTTTTCAATGACCCATTGTATTGATAGCCGTCGTCGTCGCGTTTGCGTCCTACTTGCTTAAGGTCGCTAATGATCCAGTAATGCTGACGGACCACAGACAGTACATGCTCTCGACCGGCGTGATCTAATATTTGGTGATAATAGGTAATAATTAACGAGGCGATGTCATGTTGATGTGGCACTATCATTGGGTTGACGTTCTCCGAGGTTAAAGGTGCGTGTCTCAGACGGCCGCCAACACAAATAACGCCGTCTAGGAGTACGGGCGAAAGAGTCACCAATCTGCTATCTGACTTGATCTTCATTCCAGATTTTAGAGCTGAGAGTTCATCCTGGAAGTATTGGTTTTGGACTACTTTCACGATAGATGTCGACGCTTCCTTCATTTCTGTTAAACTTATTTCCTTGGGAAATGAGGCCACTTGTGATTTAGCTTTGGTTCGTAGATGACGCATTAACCGCACTAGCCAAGAAATATATCTCTGCAGTTTAGACCACGACGATAAGTCGTTCAGCAGTTGAAACAAATGGGAACCAATTACGACTGCCGGCGAGTTATGACCAATACGTGGTTTCACGACCTCTTCATTGTCCTCTGGGACCTCGGATACCCTTGCGACCCGCCAATGATTTGCAGTCTGGCTGAGGAAAGCGGGCCCAGACCACCAACGGCACGTTGAATGAAATGCTTCGATTGGCAAGCCCCTTGATCCATCTTCGGCCGGGTTTAGAGCTCCGGGGACATGTCGCCATTGTTCTAGTGTCGTATGTTCGTGAGTCTCTTCTAAACGAGTGGCCACAAAGCGGTGAAATCGCCTATTTTTATTCGTGATGTACTGAAGAACTGTGGTAGAGTCGGTCCAAAAGATGATAATATGATCAACGTTCCAATCCAATTCAGCTCTGATTAGATTACTCAGCCGTACAGCTAGGACGCTTGCCTTAAGATCCAGTCGTGGGATGGTGGGTTTCTTTATCGGGCAGTTACGGCACTTTCCCACACTCAATCTACACGATATCACCCCAGCAATGTCGACAATTCGTATGTAGACAGATGCGGCGTATGCGATCTCACTTGAATCACTAAACAGGTGCAGCTCGATTAAACGTACGCGAGACATGTCCGTATTGAAATCTTGCAATCCGAACTTCAGACAGCTGCGATAGTCACTTCAGCCATCTCTGCCAAACCTTGAGTTGCTGCTCTCGTATCTTGTCATCCCATCCGACCTTCTGTTGCCAAAGTCCCTGCAGTAACGTTTTAATCGGCAGAGTGTTGGGTGCGAGAAGCCCAAAGGGTCGAACAATGAGCTCACCACCGAAAGGATTGCTCTTTTCGTTGCTGGTTTATCGGTAGAAATGGACGTGAAGTAAAATTCATCAGTTTCAGCATCCCATGATAACCCCAGGGTGCGATTAATCGGCAGCTGGTCAAGGTCGAGGTCAAGTGTAGGAGATGCCCTTTCGCTGGCTGGAATTGCTTGCAGCACCTCTCTTCGGTTGCTCAGGAATTTCGTGAGGCAGAATCCACCTTCTTGCAATTCGGCTATTAAATTCAAGGCTAGGTCGACAGCTTGTTTAAGTGTCCGGGTTGATTTCAAGAGGTATTTGACGTAGCAGTTCCGGCGCACTACATCTGCGACAGATTTACCATATTTCGTCTCGTTGTCATCCGCGGTTTGCTTAAGGGCCCTATTTGCACAACAGGGTGAGGATTTTGCGCCAAAAGTGTAGACAAGCATTTTGTACTCTGCCGGGGGTTTACTGATATCGCCAGCTGACCACAGAAATCGAAGGGCGTCGCAGTCATCGTTGATCACCTTCACCTGATGAAACATAGCTTCAATGCCAGCAATCAGGGCGACCGGATCTTGTCTAAATCGTACCAGAATACCAACCAAGTTATTGAGCAAGTCTGGACCCTGAAGAAGTTCATTATTTGACGATGCTCCTGCGAAGATTGACGCCGCATATAAAACGGGACGAACCTTTCCTGGCTTGCGAGGATTCAAGACTGGATGGTGCGGTAGGTACCAGGTTTGTTGCATCTCTCTTTAATCTCGTCTGGGTCGATCTTGCGGGCGTAGCCCTTTTCGACATAGTCATCGATAATCGCCGGGTATTTCTTCTTCAGATCTTGATCCCGTTCCCTCCACCAGATGTGGAGGGCGTATTTCTGCCACTACTCGGTTATCGGGAAGTCGTGGATCATTGTGCTTCCATAACAGTCCCATTTCGTAGTGACCATCAACCTTTCCGATCGTATCCTCTATGATTTTCTCAACCCGCTTATCCTCCACCGACTTCGGTTTGGCATTGTCTGTAGCTGTTCCGAGTGATTCCAATTTCCAGAAGTACTCGACTTGTTTGTTGAGTGTATAATCGTCCGTAGTAGTGCAGACGTTGTGGGCGGCCGCGCGCTGTAATCTTGCACCATCCCCAATACGACCGAGAATCGAGTATCCCAGGCAGGATCGTATCGCTACCGGGGCACCAAGGCCACCATATCTGACATCAAGCGGGATGAAAGCTTCTGGAACGTTTTTCCCGATAATGACAGAGATCCTATTCTGGTGGACTTCGGGAAACGGCACGCCCTTGAGATGGGACCATCGCGATTTGTTGCTTTGCATCAATCGATAACGTAGCGGTATCTTTAGTTTTTTACTACACCAGGTGTTGTTCAGCTTCAAGCGTTGTGGTATCACCCTCAAGCGATATTGAACATCGTTATCATTGCTTACGGTTGACAGGACCAATTAATCGGGCTGGCCTTGCAAATCTAACGTCGATGCTAGTGAGGGGTCCACCAGAGTTATCTCCGATCCCGAATCGAGCATCGCATACGTAGTCACGACCTTTCCGAAGCTTCCAGATACGCGCAAAGGGACAACTTTCAGCAACACGGTGTCGGAGCTCTCCACGAAAGCCGCGTTGACGGAATTTTCTTCCCATTGCTGTCCCTTTGATCAGAACTTTTGTCGTCATCCTTCTTTGGTTTGCGCGGTGTATGCAACAACGTGTGATGTGACGCACCACATCCTTCGACCTTACATTTGAATTTGCTTGGGCAACACTTGGCAATATGTTTGACTGTAGTGCCGGATTGTAGAACAGGCTTGTTCTTTAAATAATTATAACAGAGACCTTTCGCCTTCACGAACTCATTCCTCTCAGCGGGTGTTTTTTTCTTAAAAAACGTTGCAGCGGTGTAGAGGGTGTTTCTGGGGACAGCAAGGGCAGGGTGCTTCATGAGGTCCCTGTGTACTGGAAATTTCTGATCGTCGCCAATTTCTGATCTGTGGCCATTGTATATCTCGGCAGTAGGTCTTCTTTCTTCGCTTTGCTTCCTTTTAAAGTGCCACTCGGGGCCTTTGTCTTGCTTGCATTAATTGGATGGTTTGCGATATTCGCCCATTTGTCTCTTCCAATTCATTTGCTAGACCCGAAAATCTTTGCTGTAGGTGTTTCGGTGGTCGACCGGCCATCTCCACCAGATTGCTCTGATTTATTCGTGCAAACAGTCCAACGATTTCAATGTAGCCACGGCTCTCGCAGTTTTGTCTGCAAACTTTCGAAGCGCAACTTTGTCGCCGTTTGAAATCACAGGACCCTTTACCAAGCCATCAACTATTGGACTCACAATTACACATATACGACCGTATCTCGTCTGCAGTATTTTTAGTGCCTCGTGTATGCCGCCGTCAACTGCTTCCAGACTTGCGACTGCTTCCTTCGCGTCACCGTCCAGAAATTGTAACAGGCGCATCATCTTCTCCCCGTCATCAAAGTCTTGCCTTGCCATTATACGCCGCTCAAATTTCTGCTTAAACAGAGGAAATTCCTCGAGAACGCCGAGAACTTGTCAAGTTTGATAGCAGGGAGGCTTTGATTGGAGGCTATTTTCTGTTGGACTGACAAAATGCCTTGCATAGCAGATGCTACCATAGTCAGGATGTTTCCCTGTTGTAGGTCGTTTTCACTAGCATATCTCTGTGCTGGCTCCAAGGGAGAACACATTGGCTTGCTTACTAATAGAGGTGTTCTGTGTTCTGCCTCGAAGACTGGTTGCTTGCCATTATCTGAACTTAATGGCTCCTCGACAATTTTGGAAGCAGATGTCCACTCAACTGGGGGTACGCCAGGTGGGGTATAGTTGAAGGTAGACATCGAGTGTCGGTACAAATCGTTGGGTTAAGTGCAGTAGGGATAATTTTGGTTGGGAGAGGAAATAGGTGCCTCGTCGCTAATATTCGTTGCATGTCGAATATTCGTTGCGTTCGTCGAAACTGACGTGGCCGATCGATTAATGATTTTCAACTGGTTTTCTCTTGCACTGTTCGGACATGACGTCGACAGACGTGAAGCTGGTATAACCGGCGTTGAGTGAAGTGGCTTGGTGGGATGAGCCGTGTTCTTACTCAAGTTTGAATGTGGTTCCTCTCCGAACGAGAAATCTTGGTATATGAGGGGTTTGGGGATATCGTCTGTGAACTCCGGTTCGGCTAGAATGTTCTCCTTTTCTTGCGTGACCAAGCTCATATTAATCTCTCCATGTTCTTCCATTTGTTCTTCCAGTTGGAGTTCTAATTCCAAGGCTGCCCGTTGTTGAGCTTCGGCTAGTTCCTTTTCAGATTGTTGTTTTAGGGTCTCCAATATTTGCGTTTTTTTAATCTCTTCCTGTTCCATTTTTTGTTGCCTTAATAGCTCTTTATGTTTCCATTCGATCTCCAAAAGTTTTATTTCCCGTTCGAGTTTTCGCCGTTGTTCTTGTTCTGCTAAACGTAAGGCTAAATTTGCCTTCGCGGCTTGGGCTCTTTCTTCGAGGACTGCTGAGCTTGAAGAGCATTTTGTTCATCTGAAACATTTTATTTAGATCTATAAGAGTCCACACTTTCGGCGTATGGTGACACATGTTCTCTTTGCAAGTGCGAATTTTCCATGATTATTTCATTAAAGTTGGTTGCAGCATCGAGCAGGTATCCTGAGATTTTCTGAACGAAGGCGACCTTGTCGAGATATAATTGATCAAATTGTTGAATGGCATGGTAGCACTCCTGACTGCTCGGGCTAATTATAGACGTATAATAGTTATGAGCCCCAACGAAACTTTTCCATGAATTATCGTACTGTTGTGAAAGTACTCTAATAGTCTCGGCATTGTTTAGGTCATTTAACAAAGATTCGATTTGACCACGCACACGAGTAACGGCTCCCAAGCAATCTGCCCTAGTTCTCTTTAAGGAGTACACCTTTTCATCGAGAACGTCGTTAGAAACTTGTTGCACACGCTCCCTTCGTGGCCATCTGGTATTTCTATTGTCTGAGTCCATATTTCTTTAAATCAGCGATGCATGTTATTGTATCATTGTAATATACAGTCCTTAATTAAACGAACGTCAGGCGCAAACCAACAGAATCTCTTTGTGCTTCGACAAGAAAGAACTGCAAACGGTCGGCTCAACATTCGAATAAAATGTATAGGTGCTCCGACGCTATACGCCTAGCGAACTTGCGATGTTAGTTATCGACCCCAACTGTGTTGATTTTCTTTTATTCTAACAGAATATAAATACATAAAGATTTACATTAATTATACACAAACTATGACACATCACCACGATTTTACATAACAAACGTTCACATAGACGATAGATAATACGTAAGTTTATACACGTAGTTTATGATCACCATCCAGTTTATGATCACAAGTTTGCTAATTTGGTTGATTCATCGACCGTAATCAAAATAAGTTTAATTAATTCACGGAATTCGAGTTACGATTTCTCCACACAGCGGGGACATTTCACCGATATAAAAGATATTGAAATTATATTTATAATACAGCAATAACAATACAAAGACTTCCTCATTAATCTCGTATCCTGTGTATGCTCGACAAGAATCACAACATCTGAAGTAAATGAATTGAAAGTAAGTCGCTTTTTTCAACAATCTTTCTTCGTTGTTCAGTATGAAATTAGTGTTACGTATTAAAGCATCGAGCACCTATAAAAATACCTCAAATTTCATATTTCACAAGTTACCCATACGTGATTACCAAGACGACATCTTTATCCCGGCATTTATATAACGCAATTATTTATCTAAAATTTGGTCG